CAGGTTCTAGGCTTTTTTCGGAGCAGGTAGTGCATGAATGAGAAGTAACTACCTGTGCCCTAGTCCTGAATGTTTTGTAAAGTGGTGACATAAAAATCCTCATGCAGGGCTGGGGATCTAGCTCAGTGGCACAAGCCCCTGCCTTCCAAGCGCAAGGTCCTAAGTTCAAGTCCTGGTACCAGAAAAAAAAAATCCTCATGCGGACACTTTTGTGACTCTGCCTTAGAACTCAGAGTGCAGTGTGCTAGCCCCGAGCGGGACAGCAGGAGGGAGGGGACACTCGCTCTGAGGCAGTGGCGGGGTCTGAGCGGCCACCTCGGCCGTCTCTGTGTGGTTGGTTGACGGTCACAGTCACCCTGAGAGAGCAGCCTCGTTACCCTCAAGGCTGTGTTGACTCGGACCAGGGCTGCCCCGCAGTCTCTGGTGCACTTTGGTCTGAGGCATGAGTCGGGGGAGGCCGCCTTTGTCCCTGGATTAAGTCCCTCCAGGCTGCCTGGAGTGGCGAGGGTGCCGGGGAAACCCTGGCAGGGCGTGGACCTCAGACACAGGGTCGCGTGTGGAGTGCAGGGCTGTCTCTCTGCAGATGGGACGAGCCGTGGAGATGTGGGAAACCCTTCAGGCTTCACGGCTGCACAGTTCTTTCCCGACCCAAGGTCCTGTGGTTCTCGCAACAGAAGTCAGGGTCCAGAGTCCCTCCCGGGATGGGCACAGCGCTGTGAGACGTCTCCAAAGGGGACCGAGGCGGCCGCTGGTTTGGCAAATGGGCTTGCTTCTCGTTTGTTCTGTTTTGTTGAAAAGAGCCTCACCCCTGTCTGAGTGAGGCCCATCCCATACCCGCCCGGGCAGAGCTGACGGCCCCATGTGGCCATTCACACAATCAAACACATAAAATGCAGTTCCTCGGGGCGCTGTCAGCTTCCTGTCACGGGGACAAAACTCCTGAGGTGAGGAACTCACAAGGAGGAAGGGTTTCTTTTGGCTCCATTTCTGAGGTTCCAGCCCACGGGGGTTCAGCTGCTGTGTTGGGGCCTGCGGTGGGCAGAAGTCATGGTAGGAGCTCCTGGCTGCCAGGAGACAGAAACAGGAAGCGGCGGAGACCCCACACGGTCCCAAAGCCATGTCCCCAGTGACCCATTTCCTCCCACTGATCCCCAACTCTCAAAGTTGTACCACCACCCAATACCACTGCAGACTGGGGAGCCACATCTTTAATTTGGGCTTTCAGGGACACTTCAGGTGCTGACTCGGTCACACAGGGCACATGTCGCAGGGCTGGTGTCTACTCTGTGGAGCAGTGCGGATGTAGAGCATTCCTGTCACCACAGAAGGTTCTGG